CTGCTAACTCCAAGTCGTGCGTCGGATAGTTCTGCTCATGAGGCTTAAGCTGACGTGAAGCATACGCAACGACCTGGCCATCCTGCATAAGGACACATCCCAAGCCTTGTCCCGAAGCATCGCTGAAGATGGTGAAACTCCGAGAAGGATCGGGAATAGTCAACACCGGTGCTGAAGTTAATCTCCTCTTGAGCTCCTGAAAGCTCGACTCACATCGGTCAGTCCACTCGAACTTCACAGACTTCCTCGTCAGCTGGGATAGAGGGAGAGCGATCTTGGAAAAGCCCTCGATGAACCTGCGATAGTATCCAACTAGACCGAGAAAACTACGAACCTCGGACGGACTCCTCGGTGTCGACCAGTTCTGAACGACTGAGACCTTGGAAGGATCTACCTCGATACCTGCCTGAGTAATCACATGACCCAGAAAGGATACTCGCTAGAGCCAGAACTCGCATTTGGAGAATTTTGCAAACAACTTTTCTCGTCTGAGGGTTTCAAGAACCACCCTCAGATGCTCCTCGTGCTCCTTCTGGCTCTTCGAGTAGATAAGAATATCGTCAATAAAGACAATAACAAACTGATCGAGGTAGGGATGGAAAATACGATTCATAAGGTCCATGAAAACTGCTGGCACATTGCTGAGACCGAATGGCATGACGACGAACTCGTAATGGCCGTAACGAGTCCTGAAAGCGGTCTTAGCGATATCTGACTCTTTAATCTTCAGCTGGTGGTAGCCTGATCGTAAATCAATCTTTGAGAACACAAAGGCTCCCCTCAACTGATCAAATAAGTCGTCGATCCTGGGAAGCGGGTACTTGTTCTTGATCGTCAACCGGTTAAGATCCCGGTAGTCGATACACATGCGCATGGATCCGTCCTTCTTCTTAACAAAGAGAACGGGTGCTCCCCAAGGTGACACGCTTGGTCGAATGAAACCGAGTCGTAATAGCTCCTGAATCTGAGTCTTAAGCTCCTGCAACTCCTTAGGCGTCATGCGGTATGGGGCTTTGGACACTGGACCGGCCCCTGGAATAAGATCGATTGAGAACTCCACCTGCCGGTTAGGCGGTCCTCCTGGAAGCTCATCTGGGAATACGTCCACAAACTCTCGAACGACTGGAACATCGCGAGGTGAACGTGCTTTCTTAGAATCGTCGACAAGGCTCACCAGATAGCCCTGGCAGTTGCGTCATCGCAGTAACTTAGTGGCTTTCGCCATCGAAACAACATGAGGCAAAGAACGGTTTCTGGAGCCGAAGAAAGTAATCGACTCGTCTCCCGGAAGATAAAGCGTAATCTCCCAGTCGTGGCATCTGATATCCGCATGATAAAAAGATAGCCAATCCATTCCGAGAATAAGATCAAAGTCTCTCATCTAGAGAACAAACGCGTCGGTAGACAAAACTCGGCCACCGATGGAAAGGCTAAGATCTGAAGCTTTAGCTGAAGTCACTATCTTTCTTCCTGAGGCCAAACTCACCTCAAGAGGATCGATAGCAGTAGTAGCGCGAACTCCGATGGCGTCAAGACATCGTCGAGAAATGAAAGTATGTGTCGCTCCAGTATCGAATAAAGCAAACACACGAACATTATTAAGAACAACCATTCCAGACATGGTACCTGGCTGCTGCTCGGCCTCTGCCTGATCGACGGCGTGAACTCGGGCCTGCTATCTGCCCCTCTGCTGCTGCTGCTGAGGCTGCCTCTGTGCCTGCTGACGGGGCTGCTGCTGTTGCAGTGGCTGCTGAGGCTGCTGAGGCTGCTGCTCCTTCTTCGGACAACGGTTCGCGAAGTGTCTGGGCTCGTGACAATAATAACATACATCCTGACCAAAGCGACACTCGCCTCTGTGAAGTCGTCCCCATGTCGGGCACTGGGGGATCTGCTGTAGCCTCCGTCGGGTCCTCTTATCTGCCGGGGCACCTTTTCCCTTCCTCTTGTTGTTCTTTGGCGGCTGGGTAGATGGTAGAGCTGGCAACGGTGGAACTGAAGATGACTGGGCAGGGGCGGATGGCTGGAACTTCTCACGAACGGCCTCCCTCCTAATGCTGGCATCCACCTCCTGGGCAATGGAGATTGCACATGCGTACGTCTGTGTCCCGTGGCCTACGATGTTATGACGGACTGCTGGGTAAAGCCCGTCAATGAAACACTGCGCTCGCTGGGCCTCCGTGCGGACCAAATCAGGAACGAAAGCTGCAAGTCTCGTGAATTCCCTCTCGTACTCGTCAACAGTACAAGTACTCTGCTGGAGCGATAGAAACTGACACTCCATCTCGGCACGGTAGTATGTGGGGTAGTACTTCTCGCGGATTAACTCTTTGAACATCTCCCACGTACAACTCGCCTTTTCGCCGGGACGCATGCTCCAGTAAGCGTTCCACCAGAGCCTGGCATCACCGGTGAGCTGAAGCTGAGCGCAAAGGACGCGATATCTCTCAGGGCACTCCATGACCTCGAAGACAAACTCCAAGCCCTGAATCCACTCGTGGCCCTTTGCAATGAATCCTTCTGGTTGCTGCATATAGATGTCCTCGTCCA